TTATATATTTACAGATTTATCAAAATAAAATATAATATAACGATACAAAAGAAGCAATACAAATACAACATTTCTTGTTCAATTATACAAGTTTCTACAATAATTTGTGTCTCACAAATAATGTTTTTATAAAACCTTAACACTAATCTCCATTGTAGATAGATGCTCTAATATACAAATCAAGAATAAAAAGAAAACAGCTGAATGGTAGGGGCTGTTTCAATATGATAAATGGGGAAAGAGGTTGGAAGTGAAACTCAATTATGTGGAACTGTGGAAGACCACCTCCGTATATTTATAAGTGGTTCTTTTTTGGTAATAGAAATTTTATATTAATTTTTATATATTAACTCATATATTTTATAAACTTAATAAAACAAAATACAACAACAATAATAATAATAATAATAATAATAATAATAATAATAACAACAACAATACAAAAAACGAGATACATAATACAAAACACAACAATATACGTGGATAATATCCACTTCATATACGTCTGAAATCAAAGTGGATACTTGTCTAAAATGGTTAGGTCCAAGCCAAACTAGGCCTTGTCTGTTTCCTATCTCAACTTATCAACTGGTCCTACGAGTATTTTGTTTTTGTTCAAGTTCGGACCATGTATATCCACCTACCTATTCCAATCCAAGTGGCTAGACTTGTTACACCTCATCCAATACCAAATTTCCACTATGGTTTTATTGTTTATCGGTTGAAATCTAATGGATTTAGGTAGATTCGATCCGATTATCTAATGGGCGTTGGATTTTGTCACCCGATCCGATTTAATCCAATTCATTAGATTGGATCAGTTTCATTAGTCATATACTATTGGTTATCCAATATATGGGATTGGATCCATCTAATACTTTGATACGATTTTCAACCAATTAATTTTTTTATTCAACCAATTATTCATATATTTTCTTAAATTATTAAAAACCGCTACGTACGTATATCGACTAAAAAACGAACAATATCGTTAAATGTTATAACTATGTATAGTTATTAATTTGATGGTCATTCGATGAATAATTGGATGATCATTAGATTGGAACAGATAGGTTTTATTGGATTTTGGATTGGCATCTAAGAACAGACCGATCCAATTTGGATATTGAAACATTTGGATCCGAACCGATCCAATTACAATTGGATATCCGATTATGGTCTGTCGCTTCTAATATTGAATTAGTCAGTTCGAATTGGATTGGACCTAAATTTAGTACTAAAAAGCAGATCTGCATCTTGGAACTTGCAAGACTCCAACAAAGGTATTGTTAAATTGAGAATTGGAAATGTAAAAAAAGAGCCGATTGACGGTGTAAAACTGTTAGGTTAGGAGGTTTATTTAACGATCGAAGGGTTTCTTTTGGGATAACTTATGTGCGTGCCTACCTACTATGAGGGGAATGGAATGCGAGGATATCAAACCCCAAACCCATACACAAATGCTAGCTGACCTAATAAGATATAAGCATTCTGAAACTAAACACCCAGTCAGGAATGAAGAGCTACTGCTTAGTAAACAGAAAGAAGTCATTCCAACTCAACTACAAATAGCTAGGTTCAAAGTAGTTTTGCGAGCACGCAAAATGAAAGAAACAACCTATGCACGTGATGATATGCGTTCTTTAATGCACAAAATACGATTAATATGCAATTAAAGTGCAATAATTAGAAAAGGTAATGTTATATGCACCTCTTTTTGTAAAAGATCCAGGCCAACTGTACCAAGTATTTTCCGTTTTATCCACACACCTAGATTCACGGTTTTAAAACGTGTTTCATAGTATATGGCAAGACAACTTTTGTTCCCCTCCCCAACTAGCGTGAGATCTTACACTTTTAATGTCAGGATCATGTCAAATCATGGTTAAAATTAAGTGTTGATGTTGATGTAGGTATGATTGCATTTAGCAATAGACAATGGTGCACATGAGAGAAAACAAAGCCAGCAAAGATTAGATCTTCAGATCACTGAAAGTTAACTTGTACTTTGAAGTAAATATAATAATAAAAAGTTGCAAATCCTTTGAAATCTGGGTGCCCAAAACAAGCTAGTCTTTTGTCATAAATCCGAATCACTTTCCCTTATGATAATGGCTTTAAGCATTAAAGGCTGCTAAAAAGGTTAGCACTTGCACCACTCCATTTGGAGATGGAGACAAACAGCAGAATATTTCTGACCACCGTCGTCATTTCCAATTTAATTAGAATTAATTAAGCCACTAATTAAAGAACTCAAAAGGCAAATTTAAGCTTGAAACATCTGGTTGTACTTGATCTAATTAAGTATTACTTACATATATGAGATCATATAGAAGAGGGTAATATTAGAGGACAAAGAACAGAAACCATAATCAGTACTTTAAACCTTAACATGGGCTACTTTTGGAATGTTTTCTCATGATTCACATACAGGAGGACCACATGGAACAAGTATCAACTTAGAACGCAGTACTGTGAGAATAGATTACTACTTATCTGTACTTCTCAGATTAGCCTCGATCAAATTAACTCCTTGTATAAATTATTCATCATACAGACTACACAAAGCATCTTTTTTTCAGTTTCTTCAAAAGTGTTGCTTTAACTGTAAACCCCACAATTTAGACAATTCCCAATGCATATTTATACCTCCATGCATTATCTTTCCTTGTAAAATATTCCATAGAAACTTGAGATCGATAGGCAACCAGATACCATCTAGGCTGTGTTCTCAAGTCTTTTTTTTTTTTTACGAAGGAAAGGAAGGAAAAGGGAAGTTAAGTAGAAGGGAAAGAAAAAATCTTGTGTTCTCGAGTTTTTTTAAGGAGGGAAGGAAACACCGTCATTGATTATCAGTATCAGGTGAATTATCACAAAAGAGTAGCTCTTCAAACTATATAACAATTAAAATCATTGAGTTCCATTTTTGGCTTCTCCGCTTCTCTCTCAGAATCAACTACGATATCTTTAAGTAGAAGCTCTTTGCTGACCAGAAAACAAAATTGAATAGCAGAACCAACTAGCATCCAACTAAACCCTTAAATGGGGGACAATGTGACAAAAACAACATATATGCATTCACCATAGAATAGGAAACCCAGGTTCAAATCCACTTGGTACTATCACACATTGTTATGAGCCCGGCCAATTTTGCCATAACGTTAACATAAGAGTTTGCCAATTCAAATTATGTCTATAATGATTTGCTTGAACCCCATGGACATCGTCAACCAAATGTTGGAGACGATGGTTACCAAAAAAAAACACTAGCAACCAACTGAATACGCTTCACTGCAAGAATCTATTCAATAGCTATGCTTTATTAGAGTGATCGATGGTTTCAAATGGAATGCCTCTATCCCACAGGTTGAATTACCATCAACAGTATAGATGCGTATTCCTGTATCACCCAAAGACCTCTAAAGGTTTCAGCACTAGTTAAGAAGAACTAATCAGCTGGCTTAAAATAGGCAATTGTGCTCAGTGTCATCTCACATCAAGACTAGATTTTTGACAAACAAAAACTACTCAAAGCACAATTTCCTATGAGATCATGAAAATTTTGTGATGATGAAATTGATATGAAATTTGTGGGAAGTACATTACATCAAGACGTCGTAGGTTTTGCAAAGTCACCCTCAAAGGGCACAAGCAAAGATACAGTGGTAATTCAAGTATGCCATAAGCACTTAGGCTAAAACTTCTCAAAAGTATAAGATTTTCTTCTCCTAAAAAACAAGAAAACGTAAATCTAAAACTGAACCTGAATCAAAACATATTGTCATCCGATTCTTTCACAGAAAGAAGACGAACCAAAGCAGGAAGTTTTACAATCCACACCATATCAACATTTAGACATAATATCATTTGCATATAATACTTGGTATATTAACACAAGGGTTAACATAACATTAACTCGCTTGTGAGGTCTTAATCAGAACATAACTATGATGCATAAGTACTCCAAAGGAATATACACAGTAAGATGGTAAAAAATAAGGCGTGGGAAGAAATTAAGCCTTTGACAGGATAACAGAAAGAAGCTCGTCTTATAAAAGTTCTTGGTTTATCTTCAACAAAACAGAAAGAACATGTGAAAATAGCCAAGTTTTTTCTGTCATTTCAATGCATTTGAAAGTTTCCACCTAACTCCTGATTGAAAGTCTGTATGAAACTATTTAGCACACTCCGATATTTGTATTTATAATACCTACTTGAACTGGAAACAAAAACCAAAAATCCGGAAAAGGAAAGTACTCCAAACAAGAAACAATACACCAGAACTGAATATATATATATATATATATATATATATACAAGTGTTGTTCAAAAGTCCAGTGTTGCATACCTCTCTTGATTTTTATTTCCTTTGATTTTCTTAAATTAAGAATACTATTTACTATACATATAAACATAAGCGATCACTTATAAAAAAACACATAAGTTATATATATATATATATATGTATGTATATATATATATGTATGTATATATATATATATATGTATGTATATATGTTCCTATGGAATTAATGTATGTGCGAAACTGATATAGTAAACTTCTAGAAAGAAAAATAAATATATAGTAACAGTTCCTCATATAATATCTGACTTCTATAATTGTAGGTACCAGTCTCCTTGAAGCTCTAGTTCAGAAGTATATATATATATATATATATGTATGTATATCAATTACATCCTTCTTCTATAATTTTCTCCCTATGGAAACAAAAATGTAGAGAGAAGGAAGGACACTTCCTTTCGTGCCCATGGTCAGGAGTTTGATTCTATATCGAGAGAGAGAGAGAGAGAGTTTGGCTAGGAGTGAGGGGGGAAAGGAAGAGTCGGCAGTTTTAGGCTAATATGAGCCTGGTTATGATGCTATTATGCGCCGAACACCAATACTGAGTCACTCACCACATAGAGAACTGCTTTAAAACGTAATTAAATTCATGAAAGGGGAGAGAAGGATTTAGACAAACTTATGGCAGATGAACGAACCTTTACAGAGATTGCTCAGTTGCGTTTCAATGTTGTTGAGGAAAACAGTAGCTTCATCAAAAGGCCTTGCGAGATCGGACTTATACTTCACTAACACCTGGCAGTACGTTTCCTACAAAATCGCATACGAACAGCCAAAGTTTCAGAAACCTTCATCTGTTTATGATAATATTTACTTATATAAACGTAATTATAGAGATAAACATGAATTTAAGCGATGAACAGTATGCAAAGAAGGAGCATACGAACCATGAACTCATCGAGCTCAGGATCTGCTACTAAGCAAGTAGATGAGGCGGCGTTCCGCAAACGAACGTCATTTTCTCTACGGATTTCGTCTAACAAAGATGCTATTTCCGGAGGAGCACCTAACTGTGAAGAAAAAAGTAACTGTTCAGATAGACGGGTGTTTAGTTGCAATAAGAAGAAACAGTTCGACTTTCGAACAAAAATAATGGCGGAAACTGCGCATGTTACGTGTTGATCCTCATACAAATAAGCCAATTGTTGGAAACGATTCAGAAACTAGTTCAAAAATCGAAAATCGGTCACGGCGACAGTAAGATTGCAACGATAAACGAACAAACAGCTAAGGAAATACGCAGAAAAAAGCTTATCAGAATTAGGTTTTAGTTGAATAACCTTTTGACAATCGATAAAAGCATCAAGCAACTTAGGATACAAAGGATGAGAAGCGATTTTTGCTTTGATTATATCATCACAGACATCAACATGATGATGATCACTATCGTTTTTATTCTGATCACGTTGTCGGCTGCTTCGAGTTCTGGGAAGAAGAATCTGATGAGGAGTGGCTGCCAGGGAAACAGCTTCAGATATGACGGAAGCAGCCGCCGATAATAGATTATCCGATCCGTAAAACGTCCGGTAATGATCAACGGAGGTGGAGGTAACGCCGTGGTACTCAGACGATGATATTAGGTTTGTCTCCGGTGAAATAGTATAATCGGACATGGAATTGAAGCCGTACATCTCTTCCATGATGATTACTATACAAATGCAAAAATTAACAAAAGAATTGTTGTGGAAAAGAAGAGAGATTGATCGAGTATGAGTGAATGATGATGGTTTCGTCTGCTTGTATGTATGTAAGCCAGAAGAACAGTTTAGGGTTCTGCTTTGGAGGATGCTTTTGGAATTTGGTGGATATGGAAGTTTGGAGAGAGAGAGAGAGAGAGAGAGAGAGATGAAAGACTTGTAGAGTTCAAAATTGGATCTGGTTGATGAAATTTATTTTTGAATTTTTTATCGAGGCATTACAGCATTTTCAGCATTTTCTTTTTAATATTTTAAACGATTATATATATATTTTTTAAAAATAAAAATCTCTTAAAACAACTTTTTTCATTAACCTGGATATTCAACCGCTATGCGAATCGACTAATCTCAGAACGACCACCTGCTTTGCAGATAGTCCGGAGTCACCGTATTTGAACCTCCGTGGCCAAGGGGATTTTTATTCTTCATTGAATTTGAACCTGGGACCTCCTTGTACTTTTGACCTTTGAAACCAAGCTTAAACCAATCAAACATCATCCTTGTGGTTAAAACAATTTACATTCAACTCCAAGAGTTGTCTTATTTTAATAATTACAAGAAGTTTTTCGTATAAAACAACAAGATATTCAATTTTAATGTTTTGTTTTATTTTGTCTACTGTCAATATTATAATACGGTTTTATGTGATTTTAAGAAAAACGATAATTTTTTTTATTTTCAAATAAAATATAAATTTGAAAATATTATAAAACTTTGAAAAAAGTATTCTGTATGAACACAATAATTATCCTAATTATATTTTAAATTTTTTATATTTAGAATAAAACGTTTATCTTGTATTTGATTATGTTTATCTGTAGTTAGTTTCACGAATTCAAACATGAAGCTTTAATAAGTTATTTATATGCATTATTTTCTTGTAATCTTGAATTTTAAGTAATATGCATCAATAAACTGTACTTCATGCATAAAAAATGGTTTTTAAGAGTTTTGTCAAATGTTTTATAATATAGAATAAATAACATCATTTATATCATTAAAATATTTAATATATTTAATAAAATCGTATTTTTCTATCCTAAACATTTAAAATAAATTGATGGTAAGCGTATATAATCCAATAAGAGTTTACCGGGTAAAAGTTACCACTCTCACTTGTCGGGTAAGACTCTCAATCCTTGTCTTCCTTCTTATCAGTAAGATTGTCAGTCTTTGTTATATTCATCGGGTAGGTAATTAAACTGGTAAGCGCTTACCAAAGTAAGTGTTTAGTAAACAACTTGCATTTCTTCACATTGACATGTCCTTACTCATGTATTGCTTTTTTTTTTCTTTTTTGAAGTATATAATATTTATATATAGCAAAGATAACAAATAAAGACACATACCTTTCTCACCTTTGGTGAGGTTTGAACCATTGACCTCCTAAGAAAGTAAGAGGTCAATGATTCACATACCGCTAGGTCAAATACCTTTTTAGTCATTTATTGTTTGCACACTATAAAATGACATTTTTCTTTTAAAATTTTATATTTTCACAAAATTGATATGGAAACATTGTGTAGGTCTCCTGGAAGCAAAATGGTATGGAGTAAGAATAGAGTTTTGTTATTATTTGTGTATATTTCAATTGTTATGTGCAGATGTTTACTATTGGCAAATCTTATTGTGACGAACCTTATGTGAACACAATATACACACTATGATGCCTAAAAACATCGTTAAAAATATATATATAAACAATATTCACTGTGATACTTACATATACATACATACAAGATGCACACTGTGATACTTTTGCAAAACAATTAAAATAACAAAAATACATATTGTGATACCCTTTCTAAAGCAATGAAAATAACGAAAATGCATATTGTGCTACACCTTATAAAACAACAAAATACCTTGTGATACACTATAAACATTATCATTATGATACACTTTGATCCACAAAACATATTTAAAAGACAATATATATTAGGTAATTAAAATTAATCATATTCATTAGAAAAAATTATTTAAATCTTTTGATGAGTTGTTATAAATATAATTACTAAATTACTTTTAAACTTATGTAGAAAATATTCTTAAATATTTTAAACGAGTGGTTGACATTAGATCTCACGATTATCACAAAACTATATAGTTCTAATTTGATTAGGCGCGCATGCACACACACACATAGGGAACGATTCAAACGAAAACACCTTCATTTTACAAGAATGGGAGAACATCCTTTTACTATAGACAATCACATGTGATACTATTATTCTATCACATATGATACGCATGTGATACTAAATCAAAGACACGAACGATTTTTGGCGTGATCTTGGTTGCGGGCCAAGTAGCCCTTACACCATTAAGCCCCCTCACATGTAGTATCACATGTGATGAGGGTGTTGTTGATATGGTACTATAATCCATCAATACCATCACATGTGATGCAAAATCATAGACGTAACCTTTGGTGCGGCCTAAGTCGTAGAACACGTTTTCCACATACCACCAGGTCCCCTTACGTGTATTATCACATGTGATAAATGGTGTTATCACGTTCTCCTAAAATCAAATCCAACCCGAACCCAAATGTCCACCAAAAAGTCGGATTTTAGAGCATTCAAGTTTTACATAGATATCTTATTTTTTTTATTCGGGATTTCAAAACATTCGAGTTATATACACCTGTATATTAATTGGTAAACCATTATATCTCTTCTCTTTACTTTCCATTTTCTATCTCCAAAATGATTTGAATGCAAAGGGAAGTGCAAGTTCCATTAAAGACGAACAAACGTGAGTGGTAAACTTGGAATAAAAACAATTACAAACATAAATTTGGGATAATAAAAACATATTCATTCATTTAAGTTGCTACATTAACCATATAAAGTGACATTTCACTTTATATTTGACCCTACTAAATTGCCTTTCTTTTACTTCTTTTTAACCAGCCAATCGATTATATATATATATATATATATATATATATATATATATTGTTTCAAATGCAATCCATCACATTTGTACAACTAATGCAATCCAATAAATTGAAATATTTATGAAAATGATGAGAGTTCATTTATTATGATTTAATTATTTCTGGAAGATGAATAAAGTTCATTAATTATGATCAATACTTTATATTAGGAAACAATCAAAACTTCTATGAAATTACATATTCATCAAATTAAATGGACGGTTGAGATTGATGTTGTATTGGTTGTACAAATGTAAAGAGTTGTATAATAACCCATCTCTATATATGACTTGGGATCATGTAAGACCAAGGGTTTTTCGTGAGATCCGTAAGACCAATTTTCAACCCTTGGATTAGATCTATAATCTGAACATTCATAATCACAAAATTGCCACGACAGTTCTCAATAATCACAAAATTGTCACCGTACAACTTTAGACCATTAAATCATTAGCTTATAAAGTTGATCAATGAACATAAATTGGTCTTACGGGTCTCACGAAAAACCTTGGTCTGTGAACCCAACCCATATATATAGTCCTCTTAATTACTAAAATTATCATTAAGTAACTTTAGATTATTAGTAGATTTTATATTATTATCTTCCAAAATTTATCTAATTCTGTTTAAAGTATATAATATTTATACACGGTAAATAAAACAAATAAACTCACACACCCTCTTCACATTTGGTGAGGTTTGAACTTTTGACTTCCTAGAAGAACAAGTACTCACGTACAGCATGCCAAAGACCCTTTGATAAGGATAAGTTGTTTACCAACTAAAACAACTAAATCCAATAGTTCCAAAAAGTGATTCACTTCTGATTTGTATCGGTAGAGAGATCCAAGAGGTTATACGTTGTCGGCAAGTGAAGTTCAACTTATTATTGTCTATATGAAATGCATGTCAACAATGTCCTAAGTAAGTTTTTTTTTAAATATATAATATTTTTATACGATAAGTAAAACAAATAAACTTACATACCCTCTTCACTTACGGTGAGGTTTGAACCTTTAACCTCATAGGAATCCAAAAATTCACATACTGTTAGACCAAATGCCCTTTGATTTAAAGAAAATACTATTGAAAGCAGAGAACAAAATGGAGATGCGGGGTTCTAAGCAAGTTTACATAGTGATCAAAAATAGGTTTATGAATTTATGGTCGTTCCAATCTTTTTTGATGCCTTGTTATGTATGTTACAACCATACTAAAACTATAGACCATTTGAAACGAGTAATAAACAAAACAAAATATAAAAGTTCATGTCATATTGTAAATCTTACAAAATAACAAAAAAATAAAATTATAAAATGACAAAATGAGAAAAATATCATATAGTTGCTTTTGTTTTTTATCGACAAATTCTGAAAAATAAACTTTGATTTTGAAATAAATTAGACAAGTCTTAATTGAGGTGGGTTCATAGTAGAGCTGATCATTTGCGGGCTCGGGCCGGGCCTAACTTGTTTATTTTGTCCAACGGGTCTAATATTGTAAACTCAAGCCTTTTTTTTTGGGCTTGACAACTTGCCATTGTTCGCCCTATAAATAGGCCGGGTTTGTCCACGGGTTAATGGGCCTAAAAAGTGTAACTTTATTTAACAAATGTGGAAACAAAAAGTAAAGGAAAAACACTGTTGCAATTAAAACTTTAAGAAACTACAGACTTTATTGCTGACCGATTAAGACTTTTGACATACGGATGTTAATAAAAATAATGTACAGCCTTTTGGATTCTCAAGCAAAAACCAAAGAGTCTAAACTCTCATCCTATAACTTTAATAATTTAATTTTTTAGAATATACTAGTATAATTTTAATTGGTGATAAAAAAAATATTAATTATAAAACATAAACGGGTAAGATGGGTCTGCCCATATTTAATTTTACATTGCTTGTGTCCGCCTGTTAATTTTAACGATCAAACCCGCATCCGTCCATTTTCTCGATAATGGTTGTCCAAACCCTTATTTTTAGCGGGCCGGATTTAACAGGTCGTCCCGCCCATGAACAACTCTAGTTCATAGATATATATAAATCACGCTCCAAACACAAGTAAAAGTTGGGCCCCGAATTTTTGGCCATATTTAACATGTTGATAGACGACTCTGTATGGACTGATAGATCT